TTTATTGGTTGTCCCTAAATCTTAAGTTTCATTAGAAATATGGAAATAGGTTATCGAAGCTTCTATTCTTATTAATATTACAACGCCAACTGCAAAACATCACGAGGCATGTAGTGATAATGGACACAAGGGGGAGTAGTTACATGTCTGATAGCATAGGGAGGTTGATGCAAATTGGCTAACATATTCAGTTTTGAAATACTGCACGACACATTTCTGTCCTTTCATGCGACACTCGACTGGCGTGCTATGGTTAAATGTGCTTTTTATTGGAATATGATATTTGTGTCATGTATGTGTATTGCACACAAAAATTTTTGAAAATATGACCCAGTTACATTTTTACTATGTCTTTTTATAAAAAAAATGAAATATATATTTTTGTTAATGTGTTTATATGTATTGGGTTTTAACGAAAGTTTCCCGCCACCACAAATATCGTCTGAGCAAATCTGAGCTATCGTTCGCTATTTCGTGTTTTAATCATATTTTATCCAGTGTTTTTGGCATTTGAAAGAAAGACTTGCTTTAGCGCTGTTGTGAAATTTATAAAAAAATGTAGTAATCATTAAGTACAAGGTGTTGTGAAAAAAAAAAAAAAATGTAGTAATCATTAAGTACAAGATGTCCGAAATGGAACTATCACACTACCACATTAGAACCATCATTTACTTCCAGTTCTGTTACAACAGAATGTCACCAAATCATGTGTACAGGTTTAGGTACTAATGCTGTATCATATGACACTGGAGGTTTGGTATCGAAAGTTCAAAAACAAGGACTATGACATTCTAGAAGCACAGCGCTTTGGCCAGCCTACTAATGCTGATGATACCCCTCTGCAAGAACTTGCAGAAGAAGATCAGTATGCAATCACTAGAGAGTTTTCTAAGGAGTGCCATGCTTATTAGTCATACTGTGCATTGCATAAACTTGACGTACAAATTCAATCACTGGGTGCTGCATCAGCTGACTCAAGCAGCAGACATGTTCGGGCCTGCACTGACCTGCTCGAATATCAATGCAAAGACAAAATTCTGGAATGGATTGTCACTTAGGATGAAAAGTGGATTGACTTCAGTACCACAGGTTGAAAAGGGGATTGGTCTGCGCACGGTGAGCCCGTTTCCAGTTTCGCAAAGCGCAATTTGAGTAACAAAGAGGATCATGCTTTGTAACTCGTGGGATTACCATGGTATTATCAAAAAAGAGTATCTGGAAAAAGGTAAAACCCTTGACAGTAAGGTACACAGTGAGATGCTAGCCTGTGTTCATTCTGCTGGGAAGGAAAAACGTCGAACTGAATGAATGAAAAAGGGTAACGTTCTATCAAAATAATTCAAGACCACAAGTGTCTGCATTCACCAACTGGACTCTGTGCAGATTCGAATGAGATCTTTTGCCACACCCAACGTGTAGCACCAAACTCGATCCTTCAGACTTCTGCCTTTTTTTCACCCCTGCAGCTACATCTTGCTTGTCTATCTTCCTTTCTGCACAGGACATCTGAAATGAGGTTGATCTGGTTTTGGACTTGCGGCTACCAAGTTTCTGGGCCGAAGGCTTTGAAAAACTACCAAAACATTGTCGAAAAATCATAGCTTCAGGTGGTGATTACTAATGGTACTGCTTTCATTTTTTTTTTTTAAACTTTATTAGGAACATTTTTTTGGGAAAAACTTTGGTTACAACCAGACAGTTCCTGTGGCATGCATAAATTTTATTGATGTGCCTCTTTCTAAGAATTATTTTTTTAGCTGATGTGTGGTTTATGGTTATATCTTTATTATAAGGTTAATATCTCTATTTACAAACAAGCATGTTTGAGAGAGTAGCGTGTTTGCTAGCATTGGAAAGCTAGCTTAACTAAAATTTTTACTTTTGTGCAATGGAGAGTTATTTTAAGTATAAGTATCTATGAGAAGCTCTTGAATTGTGGAGAAATATTATGATGGAGAGAATTATTAGAACTGATTATATCCTTTATTTTGGAAAGCATTAGCCAAATGTGTGCTTCATTGCACAATAGTTAGGAAATTTAAATGATTATATGACATAAAGAATTAAAATAATTCTTATCTTAGAAGTATTTAAATGAGATCTTTATCATATTGCCTTTAATCTCTGGACCTTTTATCATTAACATATTCAGATATTGTATAATATTTAGCTTTCGGTCTTGTATTAGTGGTATGTTTTCTAGCTTTACAGCTTTCTTTCTGTGCCTTTTGTATTATCATCACAAAATGGATGTGTGTTTTATTGACATCAGATTGAGCATAGCATTTCTTGGATGTTCATTTAGGGCATATATGGCCAGACTAAAACTCCATTAGCTGCATGTTAGTCTTATTCAATGGAGTTACTTTTAATTTGAAACAGTAGTGTTAGTTTGAAGTGTAATTTGAAATCAGTGTCATATTTTGTGAGGCTTTCTTAACAATCAAAACATAGTTCATATAATTTAAAAACAATTAAAAAAATGTATACCAAGCACTAATCCTCATATTATACACGAATACAGATAATATTCCTTACTGCCATGATAGTGTTATTTTTAGAATCGGGAATAACTACAACTGCTGCTTTAACAATATACCTTATGCAAACAACACTATGAATACGAGCAGTTTAAGTCTCATTGGAGAGAAAACATATCTAATTGCTATGGACAAATGAATTGACAGATGTTATTGCCATGTGTTGATCCTTACATTAATCATTTGTAAAAAAGAAACTACTTATTTTTAATGTAAAAACCATGTGGGGACATTTAAAAATTTTTATATCTTGTCTGCTTAAGAGAAGTTTTTTACATTATTACAAAACATTGTCAAAGTGTATCAAAGATCTTTACAATGTCTTTATAATCTACGAGTATAATACTTTATAATCTCGTACTATAATTAGCTTGCAATAATAGTAAAATTCCTTTTATAAGTCAAAAGAAAATATGTAGTTTTTTTAAATTAAATCTGAAGGGAAACTTTACATGCCCAAAAGAAAAGTTTAACATTTAATGTAGATTATAAGGATTGTACTTTTCTGAATTCAAAATAAGGGTGACAAGAGTTATTGCTTAAGTTGGTGTAAAGACTCTCAGAATTGAGGTTTAGTTTAATATTTGTTTCTAAACATGTTTTCATCTGTATGGAATCAGGAACTGGAAATTTTTTCTTGAATGAATATTATGGAATATAACTATTTCAGTACAGCAGGTGTAATGGCACGGGAAAGAATAATGATCAATGGATGCACGGACTGAACAGCGGATCTGTGACCGGCCAGATTGTTATGAGGTCTTAGAACCTTAGGTAAGATTTTTCAGAGGTGCATATGAATCTGAATTTTTATTTGTGGGCAATGAAGTTTTTCTATATTGAGAAAATATTATCAACGGTATACCTTGAAAGTGGAGACATTGAGCGAATATTGTAGCCTGCAAAATCTCCAGATCTTCACCTGTTGAGAACTTATGGGACTGCTTTGGAAAAGCACTTCTACAGAGACATCCACCCTCTAGATATAAATGCTCTGAAAACCATATTGCTGGAGCAGGGGAAAATACTATTTAACAACTTTATTTCTACCATGAAGATACACAAAATGCATGTACTAGTCGAAACAAATCGCATTCCATGTTATATTCATAAGCCTTAATGTTTTTCTGGGTTCTTTTTTTCTTCTTAACTCTCCTTGTAATATATGTACCATTTTTATTATTTCACTGTATAGTTCTATATCATATGCAGGGCTCTTTTCCTTTGTATTTATATGCTGTGAAGTTATGTATCATTCCACACACATTCATAAAATTATAGTTCACGCTTTCTGAGAAATCTGTGATTTTTGTATGTAAAGATAATTTTGGACATGATTGTATATATGCACTGTAGAAAGATTGTTATGCATACCCACAGACTAGAGAAATACATATCTAAAATTAATGGCACACATGCCAAGATCATCAAGCAGTTAGCAGAATTCCAGTACTGTTGTACACTGAGGTGGTTTAAATGTGCTTAAGGCAAGTAGTGGTTGATCATTAGTTAGATTAACAAGTTACATCGCTTTAGAAATGGACATATGTGCATTAGAAATTGTATTTTGTAATTTCGCATACCCTAGTATCTAGTTTGAAACCATAGCATTTTCTATTGTTGATTTTGTACTGTTTTCACTTAATTACTAAAATTGTGTTCCTTAATTTAGCATGGATACTCTATTTTATGGTACTGAATAAATTTTAGTAGATTTATAATAATAATTTTTTAATAATAATATTTTCTTATAAGTCACCAATTTTTCAAAAATAATTCTTATAAAGCATTTTTAAGAGCCAGATTTGAATAAACCAGGTCTGAATACAAAATGTGTATCAATTTCATAGGGTATATTTTGTTGTATAGTGGTGTTAAGGTTTATTCATCTAAATCAGGGTTTCTTCAACTTTTTTCAGTCGCAATTCCTTTTTATCACTGAGATTTCTTCGCGACCCCCAGGACTTCATAATATTTACAAAAGTTTTGTAGGACCCCAAAAGTATTGCGCAAATCTGACACATGTGTAGGTGAAACTGTCAATTTTTTCACTTGTACTATTGCAGTTTTATGTCATTTTTAATTTTAAGACAGAACAATATGAAAATTTTAAATAAGACAAAATGACATCATCACGAGCAAGGCAAGGAAAATGAACGTTCATATTATAAAAATAATGCGTTGAAATGTTTTTTTTTTTTTTTTTTTCATCTGTATTGTCTTATCTTTATTTATGTCCAGGTACATTGTGTAAAAATATTTGGCAATTGTAAAATTATTATAATAAGTTAAATATCAAAACTGCTCAAATTTTTGGCGATCCCCCCTCTCCCACTGGAAGGGTTTTTTAAGGAGGTTTAAGGTTTAACCCACAGTTTAAGAAACCCTGATCTGAATCTTGTTGTTAAAATTGTCAGTTTATTAAAATGTGAAATTTAATTAAAAATTTATTTCTTTTAGGCTTACATAACCGATGTTCATGATGATGAAGTAACAGTAGCTTTTGAAAATGAGTAAGATATTAACATTATTTCCTCAGTTACTCAGTATAATAGAATTTGCATGCATGTTTTGATAATACTGCTGATTATTTCTTCAATCATTATTATAAGCATTTATTTGCAATTAGAAATTTTCTGAATGGTTTATATAATAAAATTTATTTTCCATGATTACCTTTTACAAAATTTAATTTTTAAGTGTAAAAAATACAAGTATAAAATTCTATTCGTAGTTGGCAACCTGAAAGTAAATTTCCATATCACCGTGTAAGGCTACCACCTGCACCTCCGAAAGATGACAAGCCTGCTAGTATGACAGAAGGTCAAGAAGTTGAGGTAAATCAGTGCTTCAATATCCTAATCTTTTTGCTGACTTCAGAATGAAGTAAATTTTTGAAAAATAGGACAAATTGTTTCTGCCGTAGATATGTACAAAATTATTTTTAAAGATATATTTTAGGAAAACTTTATTACATTTTTGGTACTTTTTGATTTTCTGCATCTCAATGAAATAATCTTGGACTTATTGGGGACTAATTTCAAATTTTTGATAACTATTTTCAAAGTGGTATAATTCCATACAAGAGAAACAGTTAAAAAACACTTCTGTTTTTTGAGAAATCTTTTTTTGTTTTGTTTTGTTTTGCTTTTGTTTTCCCTATAGACACAGCAATCCATTTTTGCTTTAAAAAAAAAAATGAAGCAACCCTACAATTTACTTCATGCATTGGCCAAAACAGATGTGTCCTGCATACATACCTAGGTTACTGTGAAAATATCATTTGGTCACATTGTGGATTGCTAACCATTTTGGTGACATATTGCTTTGTCTTGTGAATATTTTTTCATGACTTTTCAGCAAGAGTGAGGATAATCAAAAAGTACCTAATTTTTTATTTAATATACTATTTTCATTAAAGATCGTGTTAAAGTTATTGTCTTATGATTGTGGCTGAGAGAGTAATGTAATTGCATTTCTTAAACCATTCAACTGACAATTCAAATGTCGTAATATATTTCATTATTATGTAATTGGTACCATTATTCTATAAGAACAAAATCATGATACGTAAATGTATTGAACTGTAAAGATTGAAAGGTAACCATTTGCATTTTGGGCACCTCCTATAGCATTTTAATAACGTGCTGTAGAATATGACATTGTTTTCTCTGCCTAAATCCCACATGTTGTGTGGATGGATGTCTTTCCTTTGAAGTTTCATACTTAACCTTCCAGCACGTGCGTATGCGCAAAATTTATGACAAATTCAGTTTTTAATGCACATTTTTCGCATATCGAAGCTGGAGACGTCTGAATGTCATTTCTATTCCTCCTTTCTACCTTTCCCCACATCATGGAATGTGCCAAAAGGAAGCCATTTGACTTTTTTTTAAACTGGTCTTTTGTGCTATGTAGCAGCTTTTTCATAAAAGTTACAACATGCACGTGGTTGTGTTTTAAAATTTGGAAAATATTTTTTTTCTCAAATATTTTGTAATTTTGTGTTATTAATTGCTGTGTATTATTTTAATTTGAATACATTTGGTTCTGTAAATTTTATATCGGTTTTCATGGCAGCTGATTTTGCTTGGAATCTTCAAGAATTATCTAATGAAGAAAAGGAAGACGAGGAAAACTTTGGATGGGAGAACAATAGCGATTTCCATTCCTTATTTTCTTTTATTTCTATTTTTTAGAAATAAATAAAAACATTAAAGTTGGTTTAAAGTGCATTTTTGTAACCAGTAAGAAATAAATTTCTTTGCAGAATAAGTAATGCTAAACTTACTTTTTTTCCCACCAAGATGTTTTCCTTTTTATGGTCTATACTTATCTTTGATAAATATTAAAATTAGCTTCAATTTTAAAATATAATTAATTAATGAAGTTTTAAATAATAAAATTTAGAACTTTCTATAATGAAATACATCTTTGCATTCCATCTCCCTAACATAAGAGCTTTAAAATAATTTAATTATATTTGAATGTGATATCATTTGTATTTTGCAATAATAAGATTAATATTTTATTTCTTAACAAATTTATTATCAATATTCACTCGTTTCTGTCGTTTTTCGTGCCCAAAACGGTAAAATAACGGATGTCGTAAAAAATACGACGCGCGTATGCTCATGTAAAATTGCCAAGCGCACGTGCTGGAAGGTTAATATGCCATCATTTGTGCGCTTTGTGAGACAAAAGTTACAATTCATCAGAGAATGCCATTTATTCATTGTTTTGTATTCAGTATTGCTGTGCAAATAGATGTTACTGCGTTTGTTATATAATTTTCAGCATGGTTGCTATCCTCAAATTTCTACCACTGAGCACATTGGCTTGCAGATTCATTACATGGTTATGCTGAAATGGCACTTATTGGTTATAGCAACCTTCACGAGAAACAAGAATTGGTACATCTTATCCTTGTCATCAAATTGTGTCAAAACACAAATGTCAAAAAACATTTTCATTATACTAAGTATAATGCTAGAAGTTCAGAAAGGAGCAACAGATCAATAAAATTTCAAATATAGCAAATAGCTATTGTTTCCTAATCTGCAAGCTGTGGCATGTAAATAATTTTAATGCACCTTGAAAATGCAGGGCAAAGGAATTTAATATGTTTCTATACTGAGCCACATATTCACCTTACCAGAAGCCAAATAAATTTGAAATCTGCTGTTGATAATGCAGTATGCTGTAAAAATTTTCTGTTTGCGTTTGTAAATTCATCATTTGTACTTATAAATCATTAGTTCATCATACCTTTACTTTTAAAACACTTGCCACAAATTAATTTTTTAGATGATGAGTGTAGATAAAATTTAAGTAACCACTCGTATTGAATTTCCAAATGCTACTGCAGTTAAATGTTAGTGTGAAGAGGAGAACTTCACTTTTTGGAAAAGCCTTATATGATCCTTTCTCGGTTAAGGAAAAAAAAAAGAAAAAGCTGCAAAGGATTTTCGCTTTGACATCCAAAGATGATTTAACAAATGGCATCAGAATCTGAAAAAATATCCCAATTGCTCAAAAATTGCTGTGCATTTTTTTTGTCCAATGGGCGAAGAAACAAACTGTTTTTAACTTGCCAGCATGTGCATGAAGATGCATAAACTGGTGAAAAATCTCAAACTGGAACTTATAGCTAGTGCAATTTCTTATGAGAGAATGAAATGAAGTATTTAGGCTTTATCAGTAAAGAAAAGCCGGTTGAAAAGTTTTCGTAATGTAACATCAGAGGGAAGTAAAAGTTAGGTGACATTTGGTATTTTATTGCTAGTTTCTTGGTCTTTAAATTTAGGGCCACCGTAACTGACAAGTATCCTGAAAAATTCTCTAATGATGCTTTTGCTATGTTTAGAAAGCTAGTGGATCTATAATAGCTTGCTAATCAATCCTGAAATGTGTGGATTCATTGACGCACGTTGTCAGTATTGTTTCATTTTTCCAGGTCTAATAAGTTTTTGCCATTGTGCCACATGGAATTTCACAGTATCTATACTGTTAAAATCTCTGTGCTTCTGTTTATATATAACATCATCTTATCTGGGATGGTGGGGAGTTGAGTTTCAAAAATGGTGGTACCCCAGGATTTCAAAAGTTCGTGGGAAGCCATTTCAATCATTCCCATCTTTGTATGACTTTAATCGGCCAAGATATGAATTAAAAACTCTGGAAAATGCTAATTTTGACACTCGTTTTTCCAAGTGGCAACAATCCAGCCTGTAGGAGCTGAAAATGCTTTTTTTTTTTTTAAGTGTTGCCACTGCTCGCTTTGAAATCATAGTTTATTAATTAAAAAAATTTGTAAGTTTACAAAATATGAAATAAAAATGGCATTACCAAACATTAAATATGTTATTATTATATAAGGTGATAATCTGACATTGAATAAAGCATATGATTGCATACATCATTGTTTATTGACATTTTTTTGTTAATGTCAACATTTTAAATAAATAGTGGATGTTGGCAACTTTTTTGTTTCAGGTTAGAATAACTGACATGATATGTTATTGCCACCAAATTATATTACATTAAATTTAAATCATGACTTCACATGTGTACATATTAACATGAAATGTCAAAAGTTTTTGTTTCTTGGTTTGGCAATAGAAAATTATTTACAAATTGGTTATTCCTGGGGAAAATGAACTGATTTCATTCATATTGAAATGTTTTTGTAAATTTTCTTTTCAGGTGTACATAGAACTTGTAAATTTTGCCTTGGCCACAGCCTGCTTATATGGCAGGCTTGACTTTTAATGTTATTTCTAAAATGTGAGCTTTGCCTATGCATGTAAACCTTTTCCCTACTTGTTAGATTATGCTATTATGTGAGTATGTGGCAAGCATATTAACTTATATACTAAGGCTATGTGACTTTAGTATATAATTAATTATGTTATTCATCATGACATATGATGATTATCGTAATAATACAACTTGTGACTTTAACATATACAGGGTTCATACGGTCCTTAAGAGTCCTTAAAAGTCCTTGAATTTTTTAAAATCGATTTTTGGTCTTTAATTTTGGTCAAAATCAGTAGGAGGTCCTTAATTTTAATCATCTGAAATTTCTCTCTGTTTTTATGACTGTCATTTTGAGTGTGAATTAGCATTTTTGGAGGAATATTTTTGGCAATTCACTGACGTATATGGTTATCTTTTAAATGGGTTCATGGGTTATAATTTGTTTCTATTTTTAATATAAATGATGGGATACTCGAGTTTCTAAGCAAGAAGTGAAACATAAGCATTTCGAAATTCATTTTTTCTAATAAAGAGCTCTTAAACAACTTTTCGCTTTTGGGGTTGTGAATTCTTTTATTAAATGGTTCTAAATTTGACAACTTGTCAACATTCTGGCGATTTTAAGATCAGTTTCTACGGAAAATTTTTAATTCCGAGATCTGAGAATTTTTCAGCGATTTTTTTAAAACATCATAACATTGAGAAATTTTATTAAAATAATGGTAATATATTAGAAATCATATTTAAAAAATAACATTAAAAAACATTTTTTTTTCGCTGTCATATTATAAAGTTTCATTTTGGCAACTTATTATACAATATTTTAAATCTGAAAAATAAACAAGGTATATAGCTATAAAGCATAATTTACGAAACAGCTCTTAGTAAAAGCAAAATTAGCTATGTAATTAATTAAAATTTCTTCTTTTTAATTTTTTCATAGTAAGCGTTTTTCCCATGTAATTGTCTCAGATTATTCAAAATTCTCAGAATATGCATCAGTTTTCTCCATAAAATTAGTTTTACAATTTTTTTTTTCCCCAAAAATATTTCTGTCTTTTTGCTGTTACAGAATTGGTTGGGATAATTCTTCTTTAGTATTTTTGACATTGCAGCATGGAAAGTTTAGAAGGATTAAGGCAAAATTTATAGACCCACGATTCTAGAAGATTCGCAAAATATGTGACAAAATGAAAAATGTCTCCATGGTATTAACATCAACACGTAATGGATGCATTTTACAGAAAGTTTGCGATGAATTTCTTACTTTTTGGAGAACGTCTGGAAGAACAATGGAAACATAATATTTGAATGTTTTACTCCTGATACTAGAATCTTTTTTCTTAACATGTTTATCTTCCCTTTATTTTCTCTACTTTTCAATAGACAAAAGCATGGAAAATATCAAAAATGCTTCTAATCTTATCACTTGGGCAGTCATTATAGAAAGATTTTTTATTAATAAAGACATAGAAAACTTAAATTTCAAAGATTCATCTAATATGTCTAAATGCATCGTACACAGAGCTGGTGCTATGCATTTTCGCACCTGATGCAATCTCTGTGTATCCTAAATTCTGCTGCCTAGTGCCTATCTAAATTCTGCTTCCAATGCCTGCTCTAAATTCTAAAAGTTTTGCCATTTCTAGATTTTGTTGTTCTCTGTGTCACTAAATTCTAAAAATTCTACCACACCTGTTCTGTAACCGGCCTTTACCATATATATTTCATATTTCTTCTGCATGTTCATATTACTATAGAAATAAAATTAGCTGCTTTTTCTGTACATTCTAAATGCATTTAGTGTTTTTTAGAATAACAGAAATCCTTAATTAAGTCCGAAAAATTCTAAAATTCAAAGAAAACACGTTGAAGAAAGAAACCGAATACATAAAGAAAATTATTCTTCAAAGATATGTGCAGTTATTATTATGTAAATTACCGAATTGTGTAACATTTCAGCCTTTACTATGACTTCCCATTTCTGTTTTCTCATATGATAAGAGTTACTGAGCCAGATTAAATTAAAATTAAATTGTATTATCTTTGACCACTATTCCACATTTTTAGTTTGAATTTGACTGTTCTTTTTTAATTATGTCACCGTGAGCTGTAATTGACTTTGTTAGCATCGGAACATGCCTTTATATTCTAAGTTCTTTGTCTGATATTGTAGTTACTTTCAGATACAGTAATAATTTGCTTCACGTCTATCGGGGGGGGGGGGACTATTTAACTTTTACCAGATCAAGTAAACCCTCATAGGTACATTGTGGAGAGGTTGACAAGTTAGGAGATAAAGCACACAGAAACTAGCGAAAACATTGGTTTGAATATTGAGACAAATTTCTAATTTTTGTCAGAAAAGATCGATAATTAAAGAGAAGAAAATTGATATAAACTAGCCAAAATGTTTGGGAAGGCTTGTAGAGACATTAGGTATTTTTGAAAGCAGGAAAGATAAAAAATTAACAGCGCCTTTGCCGGGAATCGAACCGCGGACCTCTGGAATACCACTGCTAGTGTGCAAACCACTGCACCACGAAGGGTCGCCAAGAAGGTGGGAGAAATACCTTATATACTCCCCCTTTTAAATGGCGACTGAGGTTTTTAGGGAATCCAATCGCCAAATCCTTTGTGTGGAGAACCCATCAAATAACCATCAACACCATCAAGTAAAACTTATTCTTTGCATCTACTTGAGACTTGTATATAAAGCAAATTATCACCTCTGGTACTTTAATGGCTTATTGGCCATTAAAGCCATTATTATTTAATGGCTATGGCCTTAAAGTATATTAACTGGGTTACAACCCCTGAACTCAACATAAAGCTATGACATTAACTGCATTAACCAGAGCTTGACTAACTTTCAACACTTGCCAACTGTGCCTACATCAGGCTTTTCAGGTTTGTTCCAATCAGCAGGTAGACAAGCAGCAGCTATAGATAAGCAGCAGAGGGGCAACATTCAGTCTTTTGTCATGAATCATCATGCTGATTATGATCTCACTTCTCATTTTAACCTATGCCGTTTGACATAAAATCTCCCTACTGTTTGCTAAACCTCTAGACTGACCAAGTATGTGACAAAATGAGACATTTAAAAAAAAGCTAACTATTAATAAAACGTAAATGTCACTTATCTTCTTTTAAATACACTGAAATGACAAAAGTCATGGGATAGCAATATGCAAATATACAGATGGCAGTAGTATCGCGTAGAAAATGTATAAATGCGAAGTCCTTTGACAGGGCTTTCATTTGTGTTCAAGTTATTCATGTGAAGAGGCTTTGACATGATTATGGCTGCACGACGAGAATTAACAGACTTTGAACGCGGAATGGTAGTTGGAGCTAGACGCATGGGTCGTTCCATTTCGGATATCGTTAGGGAATTCAACATTCCGAGATCCACGGTGTCAAGAGTGTGCCGAGAGTATCTAATTTAAGGCATAACATCCCAACATGGACAGCGCAGTGGCCGACCACAAGCACTTAACGACCGAGACCAGTGATGTCTGCGTAGAGTTGTCAGTGTTCACAGACAAGCAACACTGCGGAGAAATCAATGTGGGAGGTACGAGTCCGATAGGACAGTGCGGCGAAATTTGTCGTCCTTGGGCTATGCCAGCAGAAGACCGACTCGAGTGCCTTTACTGATTGTACAACATCACCTGGAGCGACTCTCATGGGCTCGTGAGCATATCAGTTGGTCCCTAAACGAATGGAAAACTGTGGCTTGGTCAGATGAGTCACGATTTCAGTTGGTAAAAGCTGATGGTAGGGTTCGAGTGTGGTGCATACCCCACGAAGCCATGGACCCAAGTTGTCAAACAAGGCACTGTTCAAGCTGGTGGTGGTTCCATAATGGTCTGGGCTGTTTTTACATGGCATGGACTCGGTCCTCTGGTGCAACTGAACCGATCATTGACTGGAAATGGATACCTTCAGCTACTTGGAGATCACTTACAGCCATTCATGGACTTAACGTACTCAAACAACGATGGGATTTTTATGGATGACAATGTGCCATGTCACCGGGCCACAATCGTTCGCGATTGGTTAGAAAAACATTCTGGACAATTATAGCGAGTGATCTGGCCACCTAGATCGCCCGACATGAATCTCATCGAACATTTATGGGACATCATCGAGAGGTCAGTTCGTGCCCAAAATCCTGCACCGTCAACACTTTCACAATTATGGACGTCTATAGAGGCAGCATGGCTCAATATTCCTGCAGGGGACTTCCAACAACTTGTTGAGCCCATTCCACGTCGAGTTGCTACACTTTGCTGGGCAAAAGGAGGACCGACAAAATATTAGGAGGTATCCCATGACTTTTGTCACTTTAGTGTATGCCCAACTATTATAAGTGTAAAATATTTAATGCTACTTGATAAGCTGCATGAAATTTATTTTATTCTCAAACTTAATAATTATGTTAGTTAATTCATGTTTAGTAATAATGCATATACTTAGGGATCTATTTTATTTTTAGGATAGTATTACAAAAGTGAAATTCAGGCATAGAATAATATTTTTAATTGAATTTATTCAGTCTCCATTTGCTCATAGGTCCTTAATTTTTTCCATTAATGGTCCTTAAAAGTATTTAATTTCCGTGTGCAGAAATGTGTACGAACCCTGATATAATTCATTGTTACGTTTTTTGTCTTTTCTTCTGACACCAGTTGTTACGTTATTTTCTTCCATCATGTTCATACGAGTTTTGTAGATTTAGAGTGAATAACGACGACACTCAATGAAATATCGAAGCACAATTTATTAGCCAATAATGTCAGGACAGCTCCAAAACACGTTTTTACAGTCGTCGATGAACTACTATAAGCTTGCTGGAACAATCAGTGACACAGCCTTCAGGTTATCAGGCTATCACGGTGGAGACAGCTTCCTGCAAAGCGCCAGACTCTGCTTTCCGGAGTACAGCTCCCGACTCTGCTTGGTCGTTCTTGGAACTCCAAGTACTCTCGAGGCTGCCCGGCTGTCAACTCGATTGACTCGCTAGACAAGACACCAACTCGATACTAACTCGCACTCTAGATGAGGCACACACACTAACTGACTGCGGACCAGCAGGGTTTATATAGCTTTTGTTCTGGAACATTCTGGGCTAAACCGGTAAGAATTCGTTCCAGAAGGTTCTCCAACCGTCCATGGTATATCACCAAATGTGGCAACCCTAAAACTGCTTTGCAGGGAAGCCATCTTACCGCGCCTGTACATTTCGTAACAATATGTTATTCATCTTGACACGTGATGCCTCTACTTGATGATTATTGTAATAATGCGACTTCACTCTGTATGATCAGTTTTTACCAAAGCAAAAAGATAGCGAAGGAATGCAAAGAAATAAAATAATAATAATAATAATAAAAACTGTCCTGGTAATCACAGTTTGCGAATAGATGAGAGAAGGCTGCTGTATTAGATTTTGTTAAAGTTCATTGTTACGAATTGTATATTATTTACAGCCATTCAAATTAAATGGGAGCTACTTTGTTTATGCAGTTAATAAAATGTCAATAAAACATTTCCATTGTGTAAAACTTGTTCCTAAAATTAGTGACATATCTTTTATTTCTATAGTTATGTCAAATTTTATAGCAGTAGCAATTAACAGCATGTAAGAGGTACTCTTGACTTTGATGTATAATTTGTTAGAACTTTACGTGCATGTAAGTTATATTTTAAACCTTTTTATAGTTCATTTCAAATTTTATTGGAAAAGTTTCATCTTTAAAATTTTATGCATATAGGTATTTTCTCGAGCTAATGAACAAGAAGCATGTGGATGGTGGCGAGCTTTGGTGAAAATGACAAAAGGTGACTTTCATGTTGTCGAATATCTGGGGTGGGAGACCACATATACAGAAATCGTACCTAGTGACAGGTTACGGCTAAAAAACACTAAGTAAGTAGTCAGTCTGAGTTTTTTTTTTTTTTTTTTACTTAAATTCACATTAAAATATATTTTTATTCTTAAGCATTTTACTATATTAATTTTCAAATAAAATAAATGCTTAACTTGTATTATGTACTTAAAAGTTTTAAAAGAATTTTATTAGATTTTGACTTCTTTTAAATTTTTATTGCATCATACAATGACATTTTGTTCTCTGTGAAAACTATAAGATATGCATTACACATAATCTTCCCTTGTTATGGTATACATGCTTAAGCCCTAAATTTTAATCAGCCTCCCTTCCAAACTGGGGGGGGGGAGTAACAGGTAATTTGTTCATGAAAAGAAAATGTGAGTTCTTGAAAATCAGTGGAGGTTACATGAAACAAAAAGCACTGGTGTTATGAATAGTGTTGCATCATGATTTATAACTCAATAAATTGTACTACTTCGCAACAATTGCAAAGTCAGTGAGGTAATAGATATGCACTGTAAATTGTGCTCCCTTGATTATTTTTATTCAGTGTATTCAGTTTGTATTTGCATGCATTTAATTTTCCTCTGCATTTATTATTTGAAACATCTTTCGTGCAGATTCTTCATTAAGCTACCAGGATGTAGCAGATGTTCTCATACTTTTGAAACTTGTGATTTGACCTTACTTCTGTTATTTACATTCCAGCTCATTGTAACCTTATCTACTGCTGATGTGTTTATCTTTTGAAATCCCTGTTAAGAACTTCGGTCAAGACTTAACTCGTGTGAGGTGCCCCTGGGCCTTTACTATGTGTTTGATTTGGACGCATGTTGTGTCTGACTCAATTACCATCATATAGGGGCTCAATATCTATCAGATGTTGTAATGTTAATATTTCTGTGCATTCTTATTGGAATGTAGGTTTCTTTTAAAGAAACAATATTATAATAGTTGCCAGTAATCAGTATTTTCATTGTTTTTAAAAGTCGTGTGTTAAATAAAAGCTTTTCTTTCCTACTCAGCATTTTCTCTCTATATAAATGTGACTAAACTACAAAATAAAATTAAAAAGAATAAAATTTAGAATATCTAAGTATTAATATATTTCATCAGAATCAATTTATAAATAGTTTAGTGATCTATATCATGCATTATAAAGTGAATTTAAGTTAAGGTGGAGCTATTTTGAAAAAGATTCGTTTCACGGCGCATGAACTTCCCCAAAACTGTGTTCATGTGAGAACCTTGCTGTTTTTCATGTTTCAAAGTTAGAACCTGTGTATTATGTGTTTTGGAGATAAATGAATATAATTTATGCTATCTTCAGTAATGTTAGTGTGTGGAAATTTTTTCAATAATGTAATTAAGGTAATGTAGAAGTTTAAAAATTCCAAAGATAATGAAATAGTCATTGCTAAAACTGTCTAGTTTATTTTAAAATTTGTAAAGTCAAGGAAATAAGTTTTAATTAAATGTTTCTGAAATGTGTATTTTCTATAGTATCATTTGTAGTGTAGTATCTGCTCTAAGTGATAGTTTTTGTTAAAATGTTTAAAAACATAAATATCACCTTTAAACTCTCCAGTCTGCTGCCATTTACACAAAGCAGATACAAATACACCATAGTTTTAGACCTTTTAGTTAAATTCCAAAAAGCTAGCATCTCCCATTCCCTTATTTTAGGCATAAAGGCTTGTATATTAATAGTATTAATCATAATTTCAATCATAATTGTGCCAGTATGTGGTAAATATAACTTCATGCTATTGTTTTGAACAATTTTTAGTTCTTATTTACTAGTTTTTTAATTTCTAGTTGGATAATTTATAATTTTTAGAATTGTGTTATATTGTGTCCATTTGATGTTATTTTCTTGTTAAACAATTTTATATTTAATTTTGCAGTCAACCCATCACTAAGGGCACATTTCATCAGTTCGAGATTCCTGTACCTGAAGATGTGCAAGAGTAGTAAGTGATTAAATGTTTGAAATATGAATTAAACACCTTAATTACATTTTTTTTGTTATAAATAAAAAAACCCTTATTTTATTAGTCTAGGTTTTAATTTGCATTGATTTAATGGACAGTAATTTATAATGTAGTGGAATTTTCCTAACATGATCAGCTACTTTTCCGGATGATTCTGGTTTTCTTAGAAATTTGTTGCTGGTGATGTTCATTACCTGTGTTTAAAAACGTTCTAAATAATATTGGTCACTTTCAGAGGTGGCCAGTAAAAGATTTCACTTAGGTCATGCTTTGGGGATTTCATGAAAATTAGAATACAGGTTGTTAATCGCTGTGTATTCAGTCTCCGTAATTAAACAGCCACATGGGGGAGGACAGAACCTCTATTGAAGCTCCTGGTGATAGCATATAAGTTAAGAAAGCTGCCGATGTTTTTTCACTTGAAACAAAAAATTGCAGACTAAATCATCTACTGTCAAAATGTCATAAAGTCAGAATTTAAAAAATATAATGCCAATTTAATTACTGAATTGAGTCTACACTTTTGTTAAGGTATTCTCGAACTTATTTGAGATAAAATGATTTGCTTAATGACTCGCAACTTTTTTTTTTACAAAGATTAATGTAGTTTTTTGTAAGGTCCTTTTATATCTGCTAAGCCATATTTTTAAAAAATTCATAATGTTCCAAATTTATCAGCTTTTATATTTTCTAAAATTATGAAAATAAGCTTTTTTGATACTTTTCCGTTTTTCCGGCGCAAGAGATAATGCTGCCAGTAATGCTACAACTGATGCCAAACAAAATATTCTTGCTGGTAACTTTTACATTTTCAAAACAAGTCGCAGCCATTTCTTATCAGATTGATTGTTTCTTTCAATACTGGCATACAATTACATAGAATTTTCACCAGATCAATTTTATGCCTTAAGGTCATTCGTGGGCAGTAATTAAGTCAATTAGGATGCAATCACACCGCTCACCCGATGGCGAAGATACAGAAAAGGCAAAGTCAAGGGTTAAATTCATCAATTCTAATGAGAATGCACTAGCGAAGTAAAGCACTGCGGTTTTAATTTCTGAGTGAGCTATTCGTATGAATTGAAAAAATTCTTGCATTTAAACTTGTATTCCAAATTAAGATTTAACTTGAAATTAATGTAGATAATTACTGAGAAAATGAAATTTTTGTAGTGTAGTTTACATGAGATGAGATCACTTGGACATGAGGACATGAACCTCTATTGAAGTTCTTGGCGATAATTTATAAATTGAGAAACCTGACAATTTCTTTTGACCTAATCAGTATTTTATTTGTGGATTGAATAATGTTTTCTAAAATTATGAAAATAAGCTTCTTTGGTATTTTTCCGTTTTGCCGGACGTGATATGAAACGGCGAATCAGGATGTTGTACGATGAAAGCACAGTAAATTCTAAAATTAATGTATTTTACAAATTTATTGGCTTTTTTACAAAATTTTAAATGACATTAAAATATTTATACAGTCAAAAGTCGTTAATTCGGACATCTATAATCCGGACCTCAAAGTTAAAAACTTTCTGCGTGTGCGCAAGCGCAGAATACGTTTTCGCATGCGCGTTTTATGTATAACGTATGGTATAAGCTAAAATTATCTAATTATCTATTTCAGTTAATGTTGATGATTGCATTGTTCCTTAATTTTCGAACTGGATCCGGATTATTATTTTTTGCAGACTGTAAGAGCAATACTATAAAAGTAAACTTGAACTTTCGATTATGTCAAATAGAATTTCTGAATCTGGAGCTCCCAAAGGATCGTACAAAACGAAAGTATGTTTCCATGTCCATCAAACAAAAAGTGGAATTGCTGCAAAAAATGGATAAAGACATGAAGAATGTGACAGAGAGGTTAGTGAAAACGAAAAAATTTCGATTGACAAGTTAGTCGGTATTCTTGGCACAGCAATTAACGGGACTTGAACAGCGGAACTTTAACTGAACAAAAAATTATGACTGTTTATAGAATTAAAGAGAAAGTATTATCACATAAAACGAAGCAACTTAAACAACACACATTGAAAGAAATGTTTTAATAAAGTAAACAAATAAATATTAAGCTTTTTTTTTTTTTTTTTGTAAATTTTGATACCCTTTAGATCATAATTGTTGTTCTTTATTTTCATAATTACGGTTTCATTTTTAATTTTTGAATTAATTTTGGAATTATGCATGCCATTTAAATGATGCAATTTAATGAACTACGAAATCGATAATCCGGAATTCCCGAATTGCCGAAGTCCCGACGAGTCCGGATTAACGACTTTTGATTTTTCTATAGCAGTGAAATATAAGAACCTACATAATAAAAAGGGCATTTTGATAAGTGTGATTAAAAACTCTCATAAAATAAGAATAAAAAGAACTTTATTTTATTTTTTTTTATTTTTTATTTTTTTTTTTTTTTTTTGTGACACTGTTCGAAGCATGTTTTGTCTTTTTGGCACATGCATAGACCCACACTGCACATTTCGCACATACATCTTGCTCTATGAGGTTTCTTCCTTGTGCTACAAAATGTACACTGCCTGGATTTAAATTTCACTGGTATATGTCCAGCGTTATTTAGTTTCTTTTCATCTGGCACATGAAATTTGTGGTTTTTTTTTATGTTAATGGGGGGGGGAGCTTGGTCTTTTTGGCTTTGTATGGATCATTTGTTTCCCATTCATACTTATTTTATTCATATTTCGTCCCAAAATATTCAGAAAATATTTTAAATTTAAATAAAACTTTTACGCAATTTCTGTTTTTAATTATAGCAAAGTATATTTACATTAAATTTAAACTACAGAAAATAATTTATAAAATCACAATACTAGCTTGGGGAGCAAGTGTGTTGATATCAGAGAAAGGTATTTGGAAAAGAAAGACCTTTTTACTGGGCAGGTGCATGTATTGTTTAGTAATAAAATAACTCTGTGGTTTCAAAAAAAAAATAAACATTCCTATTTGAAAAGCAAGCGAACGCCGTTGAGAAGCAAACGCCAGTGGTTTCAAGGCACGACCACCGAGCCTCTAGAGGATTGTAAGAATTGTGACACAATGCTCTAGTGGCGCAGTGGTCGCGCCCTGAGACCACATAGCAAATGCCATGCATATAAAGTTTTTTTTATATATATATGCAGTTTAATTACTGCAATTTTTTATTGCTTATATAAATCATGATGTGCGATGACTAACTTTTGAAATTTAAAGTTGTTTATATTAATAAAAGGAAGTTATTTTGTCTCGTCAAACGCGAATTTTAAAAGGCATCCGATCTGAAGTATTAATACCTAAAACATATATGATTTTACAGTCATTTTGTGTTATTTAGATGTAAAAGATCAGTAATCAATTAATTTTCATTAAAAATTTTTGGAAAAAAGAGGAGAGAAAAAATTTGGAAAATCGTGGTTTCAGGGCGCGACCACCGTGCGTCAAAAGGGTTAAGCTATTCAGGACCGATTACAAGATTCTCCCTTTATGGCGCACTGTATTATACAGGGTGCCTATTAAAGTCCGGTAGAATCTGTTGAACTGCCGATCGGCTTTCACAAGATTGGTGTCTAGGTATAGTAAAGTGACTATGCACTACTTGATCAGATAGCGTAGAGCGCCACCTGATAAAATCTCCCTATCTCGAAAACAATACGAGATAAGAAGAAAAAAATTGGTTACAAATTTGTGATGCTATGAAACTTGAAGAAAAGATTACCTTTCGAATGAAAAACATGCCTGTATCGAGGCACAGTGATGTAGCTTGTAAATCACAGAGTTGCCAAATCTCCCGATTTTCGATCGCTCTCCCGCCAACCCAATTTACAATATATTTCTTCCGACTTTTTCTTATTCTTAAAATTTCTCACGATTTTTATGGAACTTGGCTTAATACTTTGTTTATATGAACAAAAACAAGTGATTTTGGATGTCTGAAAGCAATTCAATTTTCTCTAGATTATATCTAAAACAAAACCTTGAGAATTAGATAACTTCTGCTTTGTGAGTGAGAGCATATACGTATTCAGAAACGTCGTTCTCCAGTTCTGATAAAAGATTTCCTGATAATGATATCGCTAACAAATACTCAAGTGCAACAACCAAAACAGGTGCAATTGTTAAAGAAATGGATTTGAAAAAAAAATCTTCAGTTATTGATTGCATTAAAACATCTCCGTTCTGCCTCTCTATGGATGGAAGCAATAATACTGATTCAAAATTATATCCAATTGTTTCTTTTTTTTTAAGTCTTCAGAAAATGAGTGCAGTTTACTTTCTGTCCCCTTTTTAGAAGGACATTTGACAGGCTTTACTTTAGCACAGATAATTATTAAAACTTTAAAAGAAAATGCAGTCCCTCTGGATAATTGCTTAGCACTTGGTGCCGATAATGCACCAGTATTGGTAGGCTTGAAGACTGGTGTTGCAGGCATCTTGAGAAAGGAAAATTCAGATTTGCAGATTATGAGGTGCACCTGTCACCTCTTAAATTTAGCAGCTGAGAAAGGGCAGCTTCTTTACCAATAAATGTGGATGAACACGTTGTTGATATTTACTTGTTGATATTATCTTGAAAGGAGTTCTAAAAGGAAGGAAAAATTGAAACATTTCCAACAGCTGCATAACAGCAGTTTACAATTAGAAAACTTGGATGAAGTTATAAAATCAGCTAGGATTGACACCCGGTGGAGTTTAATTGGAAAACTGAAAGTTGCTGATGGAATTTTAAAATATAGTGAACTGTGTAGAATTGTTGGCCATCTTGACAGTTCCTCATAGTAATGCAGAGTGTGAGAGGATTTTCAGTGTTGTTGCGAAAACGAGGACTAAATTTAGATCTAAAATTAGTGATGACACATTAGAAAAACTTTTATTAGCAAAAGCAGGCCTATGTGGAAATTGTTATGAACAAAATTATGAAGTTTCTTAAAAAAAGCAAAATATGCCACTGTTTATAACATTTGTACGAAAACTGATTAATTTTTTTTTCTTTCGTTTTCTTAAACAATGCAAGTAATAAAAATGTTTTTATGTATAAGGTATTTTTGTGTTGCTTGCATTTAAGAATTAGTTACTATTTAAAGTTAATTCATTATTAAAAAATCATTTAAGAAGTCTTTTTAACATTGTGAAAAATCTCCCGATTTCTTAAAAAAAATCTCCTGATTTTAGAGTGTCATAGGTTGGCAAGTATGAAATCACAATCGAGAGGAGTGTAGTGCAAACTCCATGGAGTGCATCCTTGTACTGATTAAACTCCGATCATCCTGTACTGATTAAAGGTGATGGTTGAAGTCTTTGAATAATGTTCCATGGAGTTTTGGCCTTCAATATTTTCTTTCAGTTCCAATTTTTCTCCCCTTTTTGGTTGGATAAGGGTAATTTGAACATGTAAACAACTGCATAAAGTGCTGTGCTTTATTTCTCGTTCAGTTTTTGGTTTAGATTTTCATGGAGAAATCAAGAAGACAGTATATAAAAAAGTTCCTTAGAAGAGGGGAGGCTGAACATAATTTAACTTACTACAAATGCAAAACTTGCAAATTTCATATATAATTGCAGTAATGATTTTAAATGAAATTAGGCTCAACTAAGAATGTATGAGCCTGGGAAAATGCTTCTCCTTTCACTGGTCCTGAATGGATTAAGTGCTTCATTATTTCATGAACAACATTTTTATAATTTCTATGTGTCATCTTATTAAATTTAAAATGATGATCTGAAATGTAAAATTTCTGGAAGTCCTAAAAATCTAGAACTTGACACTGTACAATATTTGAGTTTATAAATCTTTAGGAATAAATTAATTTCAAACTATCAAACTCGAATTATTACATTTAATAATAAAATAGCGTTTTTGATTATCAGGTATTTTATTAGAATATTTTGTATAATTTATGCTCTAAAATTTTTTGTACACTTTTCATTAACCTGAATTATTATATTTCAGCTCTAAACTTGAATCTGCTCATAAAGAATTTAAAAAGGCGATAGGTGCTGCTGTATGTAAATACAATGCCGAAAAGAAATGTCTACAGATTATAGTAAGTAAAGTGCATTTGGCAAAAATGTTTTATGGAAATGAATAGATTAGTTTTCTGTGGGCGTTTAGGTATGTAGTTCATTATACGTGATGATTATATATATATTGTGAATTGTTTGAGGTGTCTGATAATTACAGTATAAAAGCACAAATCTACATGTATTCAATTTCAGTATTAGGAAAGCTAAAAATTCTAAGGTATGTTCAATTTTTAGCATGTGTAATTTTTTTCCCTACATGGTTATTTTTCTAAATATTTTTTATTGTAATTAGTAATGATATCCCAAATTTTGTGCAGCTTAAAATTTTAAGAGCATTAAACCTTTTATTACATAATTAATCAACTACTGTTGATCAAAGTTGTCAGAATCCACTGACGTATGCAGGTTCTATTTATATTGATTTAAAAAACAAGAAGAAAATTCATTTACCTGTTCTGATGCGTTGTTGAATCTGACGTGATGTTTCAGCTGACAATCTTCTTTACAGAAAAACTACAATTGAATTTCTTGACATCACATTTTATTTACATAAAACATTCAAAAGGAAAAATTAATATTTAAATACATTTTCTTGTACATCCTCTCTTTTTCTCTTATGGCTGTAGGAAACAATTTATCCGTCCATCACATGGATTCGAAACCAAACTATCTACTGTGTACAAAAAAGAATTAAAAAAACAAGGTTTTAATTTCTCTCACTAATGAAACCTCTGGTGCCCTCTAGCGGGAGAAAGCCACTTTAGATGAACATTTAACATACTCCCACCTTTAATTTATGGTGGAAGCCAGAAATTAAACATTAAAATTAAATTTACATCATTACTCAAAAATAATATAATGAAATAAAACTAATGTCTATGAAAATTTCAAGCCAAAAAAAAAGTTAAAGTTCTAAAATTGAGTTCTGAAAAGTGTTCATACAGTTCATCAGCTGGATTACTGGGTCATCGTTCTTAGATATCTCCAAATGGCAAAGTTTGCGAATCGGTCGTACAAAAGTTCCTGAAGAGGTTTTTTACCTCTGCCACACGTGTACAACCATCTCTACTTGGAAACAATTTTGTGACTTTGCCTATTGGCCAGTTAAGTCTCTTTCGGTTGTCTAGTTCAATTAGTACTACATCACCCGTCTGGATCACTTGAGCCTTTCTCTTGATTTTTGAACGATATTTGCCAAATATTCTTTTCGAAATCTATTTCTCAATCTTTTATAATTTGGGCATTTCCGGTATCTTTTTCCTTTTTTCTGGAAATTAATTTTCTCTAGATCAGGTATCCCAATTTCTTGGATGTCTTGAATAAAAGATGATGGAGTCAAAGGAATACATTTTTCAGATTCTTCTGAAATATATGTAAGAGGTCGATTATTCATTACAGCTTCAACTTCACATAATATCGTTGAAAGGTCTTCAAAAGTGAGTGATCTACCAAGTGTTCTTAGAAGAAGATTTTTTGAGCCGTTCCCACCATCCACCCTACCACGCAGCTGTTGGAGGAATAAACTTCCATTTAATGGGAGCTAGGTCTTCAGAATTTTCTATTTTATTCCAATTTAAAGATTTCAAAAGGTTGTTGGTATCCCTGAAGTTAGTTCCGTTGTCGCTGTAGATTGTTGAAATTCTTCCCCCTTCTCGCTATGAATCTCCTGAGGGCATAGATGAAACCTTCTGTTGACAAATTAGTCACTAATTCGAAGTGTACGGCGCAATACACAACGCATGTGAAAATGACAATCCATACCTTGGTTTTGTTCTTTAGAAAGAGAAGAACCACATAAATCGATCGATGCCCACGACTTCAAAAACTTTCGAGTCTCTGACTCGGTCAAATGGAAGATGAATTGGTGGAGTGACAAACGGTTTTGAAGTAAATATTTTGCATTTCATGCATTTTGATAATTCACTTCAGATGTTATGCTTAGCAGAAATAATCCAAAAATTTTCTCGCAGGATGGAACCAACAGTCTGGAGACCAGCATGGTAGTTCTTTAAATGGCAGTCTCGTATTAAACAATTTACTACGTGATGTTTTGATGGCAACATAATATTTGATGTTTGATGTTTTGCATGGCAAAATTGGATATTTGAACGAAAATTCGTTCATCACGTTCTAACTACTTGGTTTTCACTCGTATTATGTTATTTTGATCTTTCACAACAACAAGACCTTTGACAGTACCTGAGACATCACCAAAATTTTCTAACTGAATTCTTGACCAAAGGAACTTCTCTGCCTCTTTTCTTTTCTTCGATCGAGAGCTCAGATGGGAAAAAATAATTTCTATTTCTACATTTGGATATGAATCTTTTCATCCAACAAATAATATTCAAATAATATACAAATATTCAATAATATACAATTCAATAATATACAAATCTAATTCAATAATATAAAAATCTACAAAATTTCGAAATTCTGTCATAATTCATGAATTGATCTACTTTTCGTACAGGTAACATAATGATATTAGCAGTTTTCTTTCTTTCTGACACAACTAAATCTTCATTAGGAACCTGTTCCGATTTGGGCCAATTATTTTCGTCTTTTAACCATTTTGATCCCTCCCACCATCTCGTCTCGATAAGATGTCTTGGGCAACCACGAGATGGCAGGTCTGCCGGATTTAGATTACCTGGGACAAAATACCATTGGTATGATTCTGTGAGTTGGCATATTTCTCTGATTCTCTTACCCACAAAAGTACCCCATTGCTCATTTCTTCATATCCATGCTATAACTGTTGAAGAATCCGTCCAGTAATAAACTGGTATTCTAGGGACATCCAGAGCCTTACGAATATAGCTTGCTAATCTGGATCCCAAAACACAAGCAAAAAGTTGTAGACGCGGTATTGTCAAAGTCTTTTTTGGACGCAAGTCGAACTTTTGCTCCTAGAAGCTGTACCGAAATCCTATTATCTTCTTCACAGCGCAGGAAAATTACTGTTGCATATGCAATCTGACTCGCGTCGCAAAAAACATGTATAGACCATTTTTCTTTATCTCTGTAACCTATACGTCTGTTTACCTTTAAGTTAGATAATTGTTTTAACCCTTTGAAGGGCACTGGTATATAATATATACCGGTTGTTTGTCAATTTTTTAACCTCAGAAAAAATGCTAATTTTTGTACACCAAAAGCTATAATTGTAAGTGGCTAGTATTTTTTTTTTTTTTTTTTTTTTTCCAATTCTAAATGGCAACATCACCCTATGAATGCTCAATATTTTACAGTTATGAAATTAATATACCTCGTTCCAAGGTATCATGTTGGAAGATTGATAAATTCTATTAGAGAGAAAAGAAAAATTCAAAATCTGCAAATATATGACGTGCACATGCTGAATCTTATATATTTACTTCATTTCAGTCAGAAGTGATAATTAACAGATTATTTATACGATTTTTAAACCGGTATATAATATATACCGGCGCCCACACTGAGGGTACCACGCCAATAGATGGCAGCACCAGTCTTCTCCTTTTCTACTCTGTGACGTGACAGAATTTCTTTATTATTATAACAGTTTATGATGTAATAATTTTTCATGATTAACTTATAAGTCGTTTAGGATTAAATATTATGTTCATGGAGGAATGGGGAGTTTACTGACCCTGCGCTAGGACTGAATACAAGTATATTAGTTTTCATTTATTCTTTGTGTACTCAGCTCAAGTTTCATTTGTCTGTGTTTAGCTAAAATTTTTATTTCAGCACTTATCCCTATCTCGAGAAAGACTCATCGATTTTAAAATTGCCATCTGGGGTCAAAACTTTACACAATTGTGTGGGTTAAACGTGGCATGCTAGCCCCCAAAACACACCTGTTGCTTCCTGTTTTCCAAAATCCTAGAATGTAAGAAAATGAAAAGAGGTGATTGACAACCAGTTTGTCATTCTGCAGTCAAGCCTTCTTCCCTTTGTGAAGTGTGATAAGATCACACAAAGGGAAGGCTCACTTAAAATGGAAATGTACTTAAGGTCCCTCTCATAGTGTAATCACGAAAACTGCTGGTTTGAAAGCATGTTTTTATTCTTTAGGGAAATTCTTTTTAATTCTTTGTTAATTTCAGATGAAAGACTAGAGAACACAAGAGAAATTTGCACTCTAGTTGATGCAAATATGTTGTTTCAGAAATAAATTTTCACAGTTGGTGAAAGGAGGAAAAATATTTCTAAGCCCCGTTTTAGATGCAAACTAAAATTTATCCAAAAGTTGAAAAGGATAACCCTATGAAGCCAAAGGTGTTGAAAATCAGAATAAGAGCTTTGAGGTGTATCAAATAATAAAATTGTTTCGTTTCTTCCTGAACAAAAAGATATATTACAACCTATATTTACAAAAAATAAAAAAGGGACCCTTACGGTCCTCCGTAATCTAAAGTGTGTGTGCGTGGAGGGGGGGGCAATTCTTCTTATCGTAGTATGAAGCATGGTTTTTTTCACATATTATCTAAAGCATAAAATACAACTTTAAAAATGCAACATACTTTCTCATCTGAGTCGGTCGTAGTGCTTCATTTTTCAATTTTTTTAACTTTTTTTATTTTTCGGCTGAGTTATATCTGCTTGTAATATTATACCTAGTTCAAGTTACAGCATGATACGATTTACACATGCAGTGTTCATATTTGCTAAATTTTTTTATAAAATAATGATATTCGAATTTAAATCAAGTTGAAAAGCTTTTTACCCATATTTTACATAAGTATGTTCAGCCTAGGTTGCATCATTCAAAGTGCATAAAAACATAAATTTTATTTTTAAATTTTTAAATTTCTGCCAAAATTTAAAAAAAATTTTGTCTTTAGACTAACTATATTCAAGCACTCATCACTACAGATGCACATCAAAAGTACCCAAAATTAATTTAAAAACAAAGATTAACAGTTGGCAACTACCTGGAAAAAAATGTCCTAGAGGGGCGCCGGTATAAAATATATACCGGCTCTCAAAATTCAGGATTTCGCTCTAGATTTTTTTTAAGTCTCAATTTTGT